TTGTAACCACTCAATTATCTTTAATTAAAACGAATAATTGAGTAATTATGAATTTTGAAAAAGTAGGATGGGCATTTGAGTTTTATGGGCTAGACTTTAATAAACTAAATTGGGTTAATTATTTAAATCGACCCAATTCATTAATTATTCTACTTTTTATGTCTACAGTTAGCTTTCAATGCACTTCGAATCACCTCAATCGGATAACTGAGGAGAAAGATATGATAAAAATACTGAAAATTGTGCAGAAACATAATCATGTTCATGCGAAGACATCTTTCCTTATTTGATTGAAACTGTTGTGATTTGGATGTATTTTGACCTAAATTCATTATATATAGTACTATATATGGTCAGCCATTAAAGAATCTCTCTCACCTCTCAAATCCATTCATATCAAAAAATTTATCAAGAAAGGAAGGGCAAGTTCAATATAAGTTGGAGAAGAGAACAAATCTAGTATGTAGATTGAGTAAAGAAACATCAAGAAAGTGAAGAATCAAGGCTTGTAATTGAAGATCAAGAACAAGAAATTGCTCCCATATATTTCTTGTAATCATATAAATTTCAGGTCATACTTTTCCATTTTTTCATTATTTTATCATTAAAAACATGTTCGACTAGATTCTTTTGTGTTGGATGAAGATTAATCTTATTATTTGATTATTTTTAATTCAATGACCAATTAGTTTAGTTAATTTGTATTCTTGATTGATTGTGTATGCTATGTTAAATTATTTAATTGTTTGACCACCAATTAAAAATTAGTTGCTTGTTATAGTGCTGAGGAGCTCACAATAGGTTTAGAATGATGTACGATTAACACACATACAATAGATATTAGGAATAATATGTATGACATATGCAATTTTATTAATAATCGTGTATTGAATGCATGTTATGCATATGAATTCGGACTATAAATAGAATCAGATCGTGTTTAGGATGGAATTAACTTATTTTGAAAAAGAAAGTTGAATAAAATTAGATTATCAACTGTCATGTGTACACAAATCATATTAAAATTACATAGGTCGAGAATTAGAAATTTGGTATTAATAAGTGAATTCAAAATTCCAACACATTCACCCCATAATTTAGTTTATAGTCATAAGAGTTAATTAGAATAATTTAGATACACAATCAAATCATCTCTTGTGTTACAGAAATTCGAATTTGATAACGGATAAATACATTTTAATTTAAAGGTTATTCCTTGGGATCGGTATTCTTAACTCATGACATTATTAATTGTCAATAATCTCGTACGATTGTGAAAATTGTCGGAACAAGTTTTTGACACTGTTGTCGAAAAATAAAATTTTTAAAGTGAATTTATTGATTCGTAATTGGATTCAATATTTATTTTGTTATATTTTTTACTACTCACCACAATCCTAATCTCTCTTGTATTTGGTATTCTTTTTACGTGCTATTCAACAGTGCATGCAAGATTTTGATACTAGCAAGGAGTAAATGTTTTGCAATAAGTAACCCCGATATGGACAAGGAGTTTATGATTGTAGAAGGTGTATACTGTATGTTTTGTTATGGGATGCATTATATTAGGTATTGCTTGTACACATGCACGACCTCCTAAGGTTCAAACTTCAATGATTTAAATAATATTTAAAATGTCAAAAATAAGCAATTGATAAATCTAACGAATGTTATATGCTTTTGGGAAATTATGTGCTTGTAGATTGTGATGAGGATATCATGCTTGTGGGAGGTGGTCCTCTCCCGTTGAATGAAAAGGTACTTGCAAAACATTATAATGAACTTGCCAAATTGGATGAAAGCAAAATGTGTGTAGGAGATGCCGTATATTGGAGTGAATTTAAAATGTAGGTATATAATTCACTTGAAAAAGTTGAAAGGAAAGACTTTTCAAACCCATGAATTTAATATGAATCACTCATTCAACACAAAGAGATATCATCTATTGAAGAAGAACATAAAGATGATGACAAAATAATTACAAAGAAACCAAATGAAGAAGTGGCAATTAATGAATATGGAAGTAACATACATTCTTCCGACTTCATTGATTGCTTGACAATTTAATTTGTAATTAAACTCGAAAAGGAGGTAGAAATCTACATAGTTGAGTTTGATTCTGATGGAATAGACAAAGACAAGGTAGGAGTAAGAGGATAAATGAAAAGTGGAGTAAAGTCTATAGAAGGAAACTGACATATAAAATATTGGGTTTGCTACGATACATCAAGGTTTATACCTTGGTGTACATAATGCTCAAGTGACATTTCATCATTGGTTGGTGAAAAAAAGTATTTTTTCCACTAGCCAACGATAAAATGTCACTTTGGTATTATGTACACCATGGTACAAACCCTAATGTACATGTTGAATAATTATAAAAAAAATTATGTTAAATTAAAATATGATGAGAAATCAAAATATATTTTTTGAGAAAAAGTAGAATAAAGAGACAAAATAGATAGCATTGCTGGAGTGTATAAAAATTCTGAATATCTAAATTTAAAGATGATCACTATAAATAAAGAAATTTTTGAAGATGTTCTTAGTCTTGTCAAATTAAAATGATTTTTTTATGAGAGTGTTCAACAATGGCACAATGATACCCCTAAAGCTTAAGCTGTCCAATCAGCCTTCTTATCGGTCAAGTTTGGGAGGCAAATTACATTGCAGACAATGATGGGTTTTACTTGGTTCCTTATTGGCCTCATTAGTCCCTTTGGTAAGTACATTTTAACCTAATGCTTTGGTTCATCTAAATGACTGTTATGGAACCTTGGGCTCATCTGCTAGCTACATCCCTGGTCCCACCTAGATGGGCCAGCTTGATCCAATGTATTGAATTCACTTCGGACGATAACAGAGAGGGTGGAGTGTTTTTATTGGTTAAATCTATCAATAATGAAAACAAGATTGGAAAGTGTTTGGTTATTTAACTTACACTTAAAACAAAGATACATGCAATGCTTGTTTTTTTTATAAGGTATTAGGTATAACTATGCGATATAACAAACATAGTTTTTGATTATTTTTCTTTTTCATTATTGTGTAGTTTTATCCGGTCTTAAACTCACATTTTTAGACATTATCACATTTTTATAAAAAAGTGCTTTTAAACCTAGTCAAACACGCTCTAGATTTGCAATAAGAAGACACATTGTTGGAAAAATATGAGAAATAGGAGGACACAATATCAAGAACAATAGGCTTTAAAATGTGATAGTTGTTCTCAAACGATATTTGCCCCTTCCAAAATTTTTAGAGTTCTTAAAGGAATTCGACGACAAATGATTTGTAGGATTAAATAAGCCTTTTAAGAAGAAAATATTTAAACATTTGTGAATTCTTCCAAGAACTTGATGGGAAAAAAAAAATTGAATACGTATGAGAATATAGAATAATTGCACTCAAATGTGGTTTTGATTATTGATTTCTCTTTTAGTGATTGAAAACTATAACTTATTTATAGTTTTTCATTCATTATCCACGAATTAGTGTTAGCCTCTCAAGAAGTGTTATCATTTTTCATGAAAACTACCAAACTATCATAATTGAAAATTGACATAACAGTTAGTTTTGATAACCATGCATTCGCATGGTTGTAGGCCGTGCGATAGCATGGTACAAACAAAAATCAATCTGCCTTTTTTTTTTCAAAGTCCAAACATGCGTTCCCAGGATATATAACACATGCATACACATGGGTAATTTAGCTTCTCCACCAATTTCATTCTATTTTAATCTAACATCGGATTTTCTTTTTTCCAATGATAATTATTTGTCCAATTCTCCCTACCAATATAATTGTTGAACAAAATTAATTATCTCCCACTTCAAAATTATATTGATCACAAATTAAAATATCAACATTTATGTATAAGGTTTAGATATTTATTATTTGAATCTAACAATAGTATAATTCCCACAAAGTATCATTGAAATTCTAGGTAGCATGATAACTTTAAACTAGTTATTCCTTGCAATGAAACCGGTGAAAATACACACACAAGTGTCTTGTGTTTCATAAGTTCCTTACACTCACTAGCTCTATTATAGTCTTGTGCTTATCCTATTTGTTAAACCTTTTAGAGAGAAACTTTTTCTCTCTATTGAG